TAGTTTACCCTCAAGTCGTTGGGTGCCATTTTTTTTCCATCTCACTGACACAATGTGAGCATTCAGGTGAAGGGGGTGTGGTCCACAGGTGAGAGGCAGAAATGTAAACGTGTCAGGATCATGGGCACTAAACACTCTTTTGGATGAACATGCTTTTGTCTTACATCGGGGAATCTGTCCATTTGCGGATTGATTTGCCGGTCCATATATAGTGAGTTTGACCTTGGAAAATCCATGTATAGTGAGTTTGACCTTGGAAATCCATTTGGGACCATTAATTAGCATGCCAGTTTGGAAATATCACTGGACTGGTTCAAGAAACCTGTGTTCTTACTGAAACTAGCCATGCGATCTTGGGCAAGGAGTTTAAGTCCTCTGGGTCTTATTTTTCTCATTTGCAAAATGGAGAAGGCAGGACTAGATGATCTCTGAGGTCACTAGATAAAATCTCTTGTAACATTATAATTTTCTGAATATCTACTGAAAGAGCCTAAAGCTATGCAGATGTGAAGTTCTGTCTTATGTTAAATGCCACAGCCCAAGCAAGAATTTGTACTAATTCACACCAGGTCAGTATATGTTTTAAATGTGTAAGTTCAACTAAGTTTCTATGTGAAGACCATAAAGTAACAACTATGATGTTTTCCCACTGTAACCAATCCATTGAAAGGCAGTGGCGGACCATGAGCCATGGGCATTGGCAGTGGTTTTGAATAATGGAAGACACCCTAGGAAATGGAGAATAATATAAGAGGTCTTCTATGATGGAGGTGAGGGGATAGTATAAATGTCTCAGGAGGGGAAGTTGGAAATTTTATTAGACCCCTCTTTCCATCAATTGCTGTGATAGTTGAACCCTTTGGAGCCCCAGAAAGACACACTCAAAAGTTAGTGACCCTGGGCCGGCCCCATGGCTTAGCGGTTAAGTGCACGCGCTCCGCTGCTGGTGGCCCGGGCGCGCACTGATGCATCGCTTCTCCGGCCATGCTGAGGCCACGTCCCACATACAGCAACTAGAAGGATGTGCAACTATGACGTACAACTATCTACTGGGGCTTTGGGAGTGAAAATAAATAACTAAAAAAAAAAAAAAAAAGTTAGTGGCCCTAAATCTTCTGCTTTCTTTTCATATCTTTGGATTCATGGAACATAGAGATGAGAAAACGCCCCCCTCAAGTAAAGTAGTCTTAACAGAAATACTAGATAGCCTTTTTTTTTGCTCCAATTGAAAGCATTGCCACCCACCCCACCCCACACCGGATTACCTTACCTAGAGAAATTAGTGCATATTGTCCTTTTTGTCTGACCTTGAACCTCACCTTATTTACTCTTGGCTAGGAACTTTTTTTGGCAGGGAGAAGCTGAGGAGGAATTTGGCCTCCTTTGTTTAAATCCTTTGTTCTTCTGTCAAGGAAGTCAGGCCTGCTCCATCCATCATAGGTTTGGCCACTCAAATTTGACTCCGCAGTAATAAATATAAATGATAACACGTCTCAAACTTTTCCTACTTGCCAGCTACTGTACTAAGTGCTTTATATATATTCTCACATTTAATCTACATTAATACTCCTGTGAAGTAGGTTACCTTTATATAAAGGAGGAAATTCCCATCTCCCTAAGTTGAGAGGACTTTCCACCATAGCTTGTTTTTCCATTATGGGTAGATCTTTCCTTACCTCCCCTCTTGCGAACCATGGACTTCCTACAAGGCCTTATTAGTGGGCTTTCTCATGCCCCTTTGGCTTTATGGATGCCCCCAAGCTCCCTGGCTTTGGAACCCTGCACAGGTAAACATCCTGATAAGAGCTGTAGCTGCTCTTTCTACCCCTCCATGGCAGGATGGGAGTAGGAGGAGGACTTTAAAAGAGTGAGGATTTGACGTCTTCGAAGCCCTTTTGGAGGCCCACTTGTGCAGGAGCATGGGAGAAATGTGATGAAATGAGCCAAGGCTCTCTCAACAAGAATGCTCCCTGGATGTTGTCGCTACTGGTATGTTCTCTGCTGTTGTATCTCTAGGGTTATTCCCTAGAGCCGTAGACACTATGAAGAGGGCCAGCCGAATCATTGTGTAGAGAAGGGTCCTCATCTCAAGGACATTTCCTCTTCCTACAACCTGCCCTTGAGATCAGGACCCTTCTCTTCACACTGACTCAGCTGGCCCTCTTCATAGTGTCTATGGATCATTTACTTCAGAGTGTGGAAACATCAGGGAATCAGGGTCGTGTAGAAAAGTCTCCTACCTCATCTACCTCAGTCTCACTACTAGGAAAGCTAGCTCTCTCTAGCTCCAGTTTTTTGGTTACTTTCTTTACTAGATTCCATTTCTGCTCCTTAGGTGCAAGTCAAAACAATTTTCTTTGAAGCCGTCTACACAAGACTGGGCAATACTCCTCTGCACACCCTCCTCCCCTCTCCAAGCTCCCACTCCCAGCCACAGAAATCTCTTATAATGAATCTGTCTCCTTTTCTTATTCTTCAGGTTTTAAGTAGGAATGCATCAAGATTCAGCCAGCCTTGGTATTTGGCCCAAACCTGTTATTCATTTTGGAGCTCAGCTTTGACCTTTGGAAGGCTGAATAGCCAAATGCCTATTTCAACATTATTCTTGGCATCCCTAAACTTGGCTGTGATCAAGATCATGTGAAGGACTGGGTGACTGTCAAATCTAAGCAGTTAAAGCATCAGTAATGAGAACAAGGCAAGTCTTTTGGATTCATTGTTAATATCTGAATAGTCACTTTCAAATATTTCTGAGCATTCTAGATGTAACTTGGAGTGAAATTTTCCTCATGAACTTTTTTAAATGTAGAAAGTGTATCAGTCAGTGGAAGTATAAATGCATATTTACTATTTTAAGAAAAATGCTGTAATAATTAATGGTTGTGAAGGCTTATGTTATATACAAAACTATTGTTAAGAATTATATACAAAACTATTATTAAGAATTTTCACATAGTTAAAAAACAGGAAAATTAGTTGACAGTTAATATAAATAGGAGAGTATATTAGCTGGATAACTATAGGAAGAACCTTACATACTTTTTGAGCCAAAAGTATTTATAACAATTTAATAAATAGTACAAATACTATTTAATTTAAGAAATAGTACAGAGCAGAACAATAGAAATTAGATTATATCATAATTCTATCTATGATTTCATTATATCATAATCTTTGTACAATTGATTGGTGTATTAGCATTTATCGTGTTAAATAAAATAATTCTTAAGAACTATTCTTTTTAGGAGGATTTTTTTTATCGAGGTATAACTTACATACAGTAAATATACAAATCATAAGTACACAACTCAATGAGTTTTCACAAAGTAAACATATCCAGACCTAGAAAGGACATTTCCAGCTTACCTCTTACCCTTTCCCAGTTAGTACTCCCCAAGACTACCGCTATTCTGACCTCTATCACCACAGATTGCTTTTAAATTATGTTTAATTTTTAGTTATTTAATACTATGTAGGTCATGAGTCTTTCAAAAAAAAGTTCTATCGGAAATTCTTTTCATTTTGAGAAGATGCATTAAAGTCATAATTTTAGCCACTTCAAAATTTTGTGAGGAGGATGTCTTCAAAGCCATAATATCCATAAAAAAATCAACAATAAAGAAAATATAAAGAGTTGTGAAAAAAGAATAAAATGAAAAGAAGCATTAGCTACCCCTAAGTATCTTGCTTTTTTATACACCTCAGTTGAAAACCACCTATTTAGAATAATTAATGTATAGTATAGAGACCACAGGATGTAGAGATTTTACACTGTCATTTGGCATTTGGCCACAATGTATATTTAGTGCACCTTTTACTTCCAAGACTCTTCAACTTATTGGCTCCACACTCTGGTTGAATTGTTCAAGGTTCTGCTCTCTTTTCTTTTGATCACCCTTTCCCTACCTTCTTTCCTCATCATCTCAAACCACCCGGCCCACCTAGCAGGACTCTGCCCGCAGACTTGTCCTCTAGCCTGCTCATGAACCTCACTCTGGCAGAAGAAAGCCCTCAAGGAGAACTGAGTGGGGTATTTGCCTTGGTCTGCCTATTTGCCAAGGGTGGATATGACTGGATGGGGGTATTGCTACTGCTACTGCCACTGCTACTACTAATCGTCATGATTGAATGCCTACCGGTGCCTGGGGCTGACTAAGTCTTCATAAATGTCATTTCCAAATCTTCCTGCATTCCCACTGGATAGGTGGTATGGCTCCCACTTTGCTATATGGAAACATAGCTGCAGGGAGGTTCAGTAGTTTGCTGAGGTCATGTAGCCAGGGAGGGCTGAGCTAAGATTTACACCCAATTCTATCTGGCTCCAAAGCTTACTCTGACTCTGGTAAGGAGTCAAGGAGCACTGGAGGTGTTGGGGAGGGACAGGAAGAGAGTAGACTCCCCAGCTGGGGAGGGAAGGTGCAACAACCTGGCTGGGTGCTGAAGTGGGGTGGGCATGGGTGTAGCGCAGCTCATCTGGGAGTGAGATGAAGGAAGAGAGAAGGTTGCTGGTGATGGTCAGGGCTGCAGGCAATACTGGGTGGGGGTGAGGGGGCTAACACAATAGAGCCAACAGAAAACCAGAGCTTCTCCAGCTCTGCTCACTAGGGAGGGAGAAATGGTATCTGCAGCCCAGGGGGACAGGAAGATGGCATTTCCACATCTCAACCCCTCCAGCCTGGGCCAACTGCCAGAGTGGAAAGCCAGGGAAGCACCAAGGCAGGAGAGATCATTATCAGGAGGAAGGAAGCTCTGGCAGCTCCCACCAGCCTGTTTGTGACAAGCAGGCTCTGGGCCACGGAAGTCCCTTGAGGTCAAGGGAAATGTGATCCTGGAGCAGAGAGATGAAGCTGGGACACTCCCCTGATCCTATGCCTTCAGGCCAAGGGGATCTAGCCAGAGCCAGGCCCAGGGCCCAGGTCAGAACAACAGTGGGCTGGAGAAGGGGGAGGGTAGTCAGAGAGGCAGAGAGAGAGAGAGAATGAATTAAGATCCCTGGAGCACCCCGTAACAGTCTCTTGGCTAAAGGGGTAATAACCATTATTGCAGCCAACACAGGGTAACAGGCTCTTCAGAGCTCTCTGGGTACATTTCTTCATGGGTGAACTCTTACCTAGTTCTCCTCTTGCCCCTGTAGAGGTCTCTCCATTTTTGTCCGATGGTCAAGTACAAAGTGCACTGTATTTAGAAGAAGGAGACCTAGGTTCAAGTCCAGGTTCTGCTACTAGCCAATTTGACAAGCTCTTTAGTTAAGCTTTCTGAAATCTCAATTTCCTCATCCTAAAGTAGGCAAGTAATCTCTGTCAAGTCTATCTCACAAGGGACTCATGTGGCATGAAAAGCATGAAATGCTATATAAACATGAAGTGGTACTTCTTTGTGTTCTTTCCTTCCGGCTGCCTCTCTGCACACAGGCCACCTCACTACCACGTCAAAGCTGGTGAAAATTCCTAGTTTAGGAACAGGAACAGCTCTGTCCATAAATCCTGTGCACCCCTTTTCATTTATTTCCTCTTCTTGTCATGCTGTCATGATAAGGTGGGGCAGGAGAGAGATATACAAGGCACAGACCAGGGAACCCACACCCCTGAGCTTGCTCAGCCCCTCTCTTGGGGATAAGCTTCTGGGAAAACAGCAACAAAAAGATGAAAGACCATCTATTCTGGAGCTTAGCCTACTGAGGTATCGATCTCAGCTCCCCCTCACCCTCTCAAAAGAGCCTGAGCTTGGAAGGGCCCCAAGAGATGAGGGGAAGATAACCTTCTGAGCATAGAAGGAGTGGTGCAGGGGCCTAGAAAGGGAATTAAGGCACAATCCAAGAGTGAGGAAGGCTGGAAACTAAAGGACTTTGTCCAAGTGCACAGGAACCAGCTGGAATTGCCCTGAGTCCCCTTTCTGGGGCGGATCACAAGCAACGATGTATGGAGCAGTCAGTTGCTTCTCTTTGTACCTGCAGTCTGGGTACCGCCCGGAGGTGAGCTTACACATGGTCAGGGACATGGGCTTCTGACTCTGGTGGCAGTTTTTATGGCGGTTCTTGCAGGCTATGCTGGGGGTCTGACAGGTGGTGGCCACACTGGAGAAGGATTCATGCAGGAAGGTGTTGAGGTCTTTGCAGTGTTTTGTGTACTTGTTGACATTGCCCATCACCTTGTTGCATCCCTGGGGACTGGGCTGCACGTGCTGAGTTTCAAACCACTGAGCTGAGGTCATGTGCCTGGGCTTGGCACTGACTGGGACCTCGGCCACCCACAGCCCCAGCAGCAGGAGCAGCAGCAGGCGGCAGAATCCTGCTCTGGCTGCTGCCATCTCTCTTAGGGGGAACAGTCAGAATGGAGGGCTGTGCTCGCTGGGGACAGAGAGCAGGTGGTGTTTAGTTGAGAAATTAGCCTTCCTATACCTGCTCCTTCTAGCTAATCACCAGCTCCCTTCACTACTGCCTCCTTCCTCCCTCACCCTGTGTCTCATCCCTTCCTCTCCCTCCATGTGCCCACATCCACTGTGACCTCAGCCCCTAACCCAATGGCCCCAACCACCTCACCTTGTATCCCTATCTTCCTTCATTCTGTCCCTCTTGCCTCCCACTCTTTGTTCTATCTCCTCTCCCTCAAGTCCCACCCCCTTTGTGTCCCTATGTCCCTATCCCTTTCTCTGTATCTCATCCCCTCCATGAGCCCATCCCCATCTCCTTGGTATCCCCATTTTGTGCCTCCATCCCCCAGCATCACTCTCCTCTCCTCCCATCTGTGTCCTCATCCCCTCCACACTGAGTCCCTCCCTTGTCCATCTTATCACTCACATGAGTGTATTCTTACCTGGTCAGAACCTGTCCCTTCTCTGTCCTCTCTTCTCAGCCATGTCCCACCACAGGGCTCACCTCCTCACCGAGTCCTCGCCCTGCGGCTCCTGCTCTGTGGGTTGAGGATGCACCTAGCCACCGCTGGGCCTTGGATTTCTGAGGGCCTCTTCTCACTGCCTAGCTCCTTAAGAGCTGGTCTGGGCTACACAGCTTCTGTTTGGGGCGGGCTAGGGAGCACTCCTGGGTCAGGAAATGAATCAGGTTCATGCCTCTCCATTTACGTGTCTCAAATAAGTGGATACCTATGGAAGTAGTGCACCTGCCTAAACATGTTCAGCAATGAGGAAGCTTGAATCCTCACGCTCCAAGACTAGATATGGCCCCTGGTCACATGGTTTTAATGACTCTAATAAAGCACCTGACCCAGGTGTCAGCCCAAAATGAATTTCAGGGAGAGGTGTCATTTATCTCCTCCTATATACTCCTCTGGTTCATGATTCTGGGAAGAGCCAATCACTGTGGTGGTAAAGATTGCCTTTTTCTGACTTGAGATAGAGATAGAATAGCATAGAAAGTTGCTTTGTATGGTTTCTTGTCATCAGGACTTACTGCTCTTCTTTTGGAGGAGATGGAGGTGACAGGGAAGTGGATGAATCATCACAGTCACGACGCCCAGCACCATCCCAACTCAGCTATTCTACAATGATTCATTCCTCCAGGCCCCTCCAGTTCCACCTGGCTTTACCTGGGCCCCTCCAGGCCCCAGCTGGCTTTACCTGTAGAAGGAACCCAACACCTCTCATCTTTTACTCTTTCCCTTCCTACTTTGTTGAAATTTGCAAAATTTAAACATTGTCCAAATTTGGAAATGCTGTTGGTGGTGGTGTTGCTCAGCATCAAGCCTTAGGCCTTCCTTCACTTTGTTGGCTCTGTTCCTGGTGGGAGCTACATGGTGTGGAGAGCTTGGGTCAGTGCCGCTCTGGGGGCTCCAGGGAGCTTGGCATATGGCTCTCAGGAGAACTAAGAGACTGAGACAGAGAAGCATCACTCTCGGTGGGTGGGAAGGCTTGCGAAACTGAGATGAACAGTGTTTTTGTTTTCAGGATTCATCTGTAAGTAGTAGGTGATCTCAGAATCTCGGGTTCAGGTTCAAATATTTATTGAGCACCTACTGTGTGCCAAGGTGCTTGGGATATATCAGTGAACGAAAGAGACAAAAATCTCTACTTTTGTGAGGCTTACATTCTATTGGGGGTAAGACAGTAAAAAATAAATACATACTTTGCTCAAAGTGATAATTGCTAAGGAATAAAGTAGGACAAGATGGAGGTTGGTAGGCAGTGATTTTTAAACAGGGCCTTTGAAGTAGGTGACTCTGGGACAAAGACGTGAAGGTGAGAGAGTGAACTTGTGCTTTGAAGAATGCTCCAAGTGGGGAGGACAGACTGCAAAAGCCCTGAAGTAGACGGACGCCTAGAGTGTTGGAGGAACAGCAAGGAGTGCATGTGGCTGGAGCAGGTGAATGATGGGGTCAGAGAGAGGCCAGAGGTCAGATCATGGAAAACCAGAGAGACCATTAGGAGGACTGACTCTTGCTCTGAACACAGTGGGGAGCCCTGGAGAGTTCTAGGCAGAGGAGTAAAAGGCCTGTCTGTTTAAAGATCACCTGGCTGTTGTGTGGATTGTGACTGTAGACAGGTCACGTAAACCGTCTCCATCATAAGGTTTGTGCTCTGGTCCAGAAGTTAGGATTTGGAGTCAGGAAGATGGAGTGTTTGTTCTGAGGCCAGAGAGACATCCTTTTAGACGCTGGAGACCACAGCTGGGGTCAGGATGAAAGACCTTCAGAAGTGGTGTTGGAGATGGGACCTACCACTAGATGGCAACAGAGAACCAGGAGCAAGTTCCGGCAGGGCTCTGGCTCCTCTGGTTGGCCCTCAGTGAGGTCTTGGCGAGGGAACAACATTCACCGTTTTGTTAGGGTGCCTGAATCTTTGCAGTTTGAACTTCTGGATAGAGAATTTTGCCTCTGCTGCTGTAGAAATGCAAATGTTTGGAGATAAAATTCATGGTTTAAAGCAGACCGTGGAGAGAATGCAGATCGGCACAGGCCAGTCCAGCCCTGGCCCGCAGGCTGGGGTTGGAGGAGTGGGTGGAAGGCCAAGAGCTCATTTGAATTCCTAGCCTGGACTCCTTCTTACTTCTCATTATTCTAGAGTGAGATGTTTCCAAACCACGACTTGCACTGCCCTCCACTCTTGTGTTTTCCTGTCATTATAATTATCCTAGTTTGCTCTTCAACTCCATTATGCTGGGTTCCCCAGAAGGCTACCTTAGTGCTACATGAAAGTAAAACAAATACGGCCCTACTGTCTCAGGTGAAAGGGAAGAGAGAGTAAAGGTTTAGGTTTGCACACAAAAATTGAAGTATAAGAGTTGAACCTCTACCATCTGCACAATTCAAGCTGAAACCCTTACTTTGCCTTTGTTGTTTGGATAAGGTGGGTGATTTTGTTTCTTTATTTATTTGCTTAAACTATCCAGCTTCCAAGATCTGTTTCCCTCTGCACTCGGTAAGATAACTTTTGCCATTTTTCCTTCAGTGCATTCATGGGGCAAGAGGAAAAGATGGAGGAAGGGGGACAAGGTTAGGGAGAACAAAAGGAGTCAGGCATCAGGCCAAGGACTGGTTGGGGCATCTGGCAGGAGAGAGAAGAGAAAAATTAGAGACGGGAGAGCAGAAGACAAAATGGTGGGAGAGAAGATGGGAGGGAAGAAAGCCCCTCACACCAGCAGCCTCTATCCAGGGATATGAGGTAACCACCCCAGCCTCCTTCTCATTCTATCGCCATAGTCACTGCTGTTGGCCTAACCTCTCCCCAGATCGCTGCTGTGTGTGTGTGTTTGAAGTTGTTGGGGTGGGTGTTGTGAAAATCCCAGCAGTGCCAGGTGGACCTCTGCCTGTGTTCCCCACAGGACAACAGCTGCTGCTTCCTCTAGCCTGCGTTGGGAGGGGATGAGGGGGGCTGGGAGAGAGGAAGGCAGGGCCTGGATTGGTGCCCAGCCTCTCTCTCTTCCGGAGTTCCACACAGCCTCTGGATACTGATGGAAAGCCCGTGAGAGTTTCCTTCAAGCAGGAGCAGATCCAAGTTCTGTTATCCTAATTTTGTTGCTCCTCGGATAAATAAAGGTAATGGGCTCAGTTTTGTAGATGGGGAAAGTGAAACAAACAGCAAGTTGGGGTCAGATGTGGGACTCACTTTAGGTCTTTGAATTCTCATGACCTTTCCTGGAACAGCTGTGGGTCTGGAGGAGGCGGCCCTGACAGAAGGTTGGAATCCTTGGCTCCCAGACCAATGGCTTTGGACAAGCCAGGATGTAGGAGAGGGGGACCTGGCCTGGGGTTGAGAGGCCTCACCAGGTCATTCTGACTCATAAGCCATTGCCAGCTCCCCATTTATCTACAGAATAAAATATAAATTCCTTAGCCTGATATTCAAGGTCTGCCACAATCTGGCAAACCTGTCTTTCTAACTTTATCTCTGCCTTTTCTGACACTGAGTGCCTCAACTCCAGCCAGACCGGTTTTCTCTCTTTTCTCAAACATACCTTTCATAATTCTCTTTATCTCCACTTAACTCTTTTCTTTTTTTGTGAGGAAGATCAGCCCAGAGCTAACATCCATGCTAATCCTCCTCTTTTTTTTGCTGAGGAAGACTGGCTCTGAGCTAACATCTATTGCCAATTCTCCTCCTCTTTTTCCCCAAAGCCCCAGTAGATAGTTGTATGTCATAGTTGCACATCCTTCTAGTTGCTGTATGTGGGACGTGGCCTCAGCATGGCTGGAGAAGTGGTGCGTCGGTGCACGCCCGGGATCCGAACCTGGGCCGCCAGCAGCGGAGCGTGCACACTTAACCGCTAAGTCATGGGGCCGGCCCCAATGTCTAGACGCTAATCTTTTTTTTTTTTTTGTGAGGAAGATTGGCCCTGAGCTAACATCTGCCAATCCTCCTCTTTTTGCTGAGGAAGACTGGCCCTGGGCTAACATCCATGCCCATCTTCCTCCACTTTACATGGGACGCCGCCACAGCACGGCCTGACAAGCGGTGTGTCTGTGCACGCCCAGGATCCGAACTGGCGAACCCGGGGCCGCTGCAGCAGAGCGCGCGCACTTAACCGCTTGCAAGATGACCCCCACCCTGAAAACTTGCTCTGACCCTCCTAATTCAGAGGAATCTTTCTTACCTCTAAATTCCTACAACATTTACTGTCTTCAAGATGTATAATTTTCTGTCTTGAATCATTAGTTAGTTCTTCATATGTATTTATCATTTTCCTCCAGTTTAGACTGTCAATTTCCAGAAGACAAGGATCATCTATTACACTTCTTTTGCACCTCTCACAGGATATAGCACAGTGCCTTGCATATAAGTGACCCTAACTGATTCAACTTCTGGGATAGAAGGCATTCACTCTGCCCGGAATGACCCCAGTCCCAGGTGGGATCACTAGCACCCACAGCACTGGTTAGCAGATTGAGGAACTGACAATGCAGCTCTTGGACTTCAATCCTGGGGTGGAGGTGAAGCTATGACAAGAAGGTTGAGATGGCTGAAGCAATCCTTTGGGTTCAAGG